AACTCTTACCCTTGGAGACAACATGGAGGGACCTGGAGAGCATTATACTAAGTGAAATAAGCCAGTCAGAGAAAGACAAGGATCACATGATCTCACTCATACGTGGAATCTAATGAACAACATAAACTGGTGAGCAAAATAGATCCAGAGACAGAAACATAGAACAGAAGGCAGAACCTCAGAGGGAAGGCAGAGGAGGCTGGGTGGGTGGGAGGAGATCAACCAAAGAACTTGTATGCGTATATATAAGCATAACCCATGGACACGGACAATAGGGTGGTGAAGGCCTGAAGTGGGGGCGGGCTACAAGGGGACAATGGAGGGAGGAGGGGGACATATGTAATACTTTCAACAATAAAGATTTAAAGATTTTAAAAAATATATAGTAAATGGTTTGTACTTCTCCTCCCCAACCAGAGGGAAATAGCTTAAACTCACCCTACTCAGGGAGACAGCAGAAATCCAATGGTGCCATTTGCCAACCACACGCCAGGGACAGATGAAGTTACGAGAATAAATCTCATTTTGGTGCATCAGCATCAAGCTGATGAATATTCTATTGATCTTCCCCCTAAGATCTCCCCTAGCCGTCCAGCCTTTTAAACAGCTCAAGACAAAGGACCCAGTGCACTCTCCCCTTCCCAGGAGCCTGCCCAAGCTTCCCCACCCGCTTCCTGCCTGCATTGGAGCCACAGCATCTCTGAAACTCCAAGGGACTCCACGAGGCTGGCGACCAGGGCAGCAGCAGTTCGTCCCAGACAAACCCCCAACCCTGTCCCCAAGGCCCCCTTTTCTCTGACTTCTCAGTGAGCTGAAGCAGCCCAGCCCTTCCTTGTTCAAGGTCCCAAGTTTTAATAAATGTCCTCTAAACTCCACCTGTTGTGAAATCTTTCCTGCACGAAGTAAGGCACCCACACCCTACCGGCCAGCGCTGGGGAGACCCCTTTCTGGTACGCAGGTCCCCTTTCCCGTAACAGCGGGTGGAGGGGCTGGAGGGACAGGAGAGCAGGGGCTCCAGGGCTTTCTGGTTTTGCTGCTCACGGAGAGCAGGAGGCAGCTCAGGGAAGCCGGGGTCCCACAGCCAGGGCAGGAGAGTCGTCACGGGTGGACCCACATCTGGGCAGAGCAGCCTGAAGTCCCCTGTCGGTTACTCACACCCTGGGCTGTGCCACAAGCTCAGACTAGCCTGGAGAGCTTCCAGGGGACCCAACCGGCACCCCCGCCGGGCACCCGCGAGGACCTTGCTTGAACACTGCATGGCCATCACCTGACCTCCAGCTGCAACCAGGCTGAGCAGCTGCTCCCTGGCACCCAGCATGGGGGGCAAACATTTTGGCCACGTGTCCACTGGCCAAGCACCAGGCCGAGCCTGCACTGGAGCCACAGCATCCTGCACCCCGAGGTGGCCTGTGAGGTCGGTGGGGCCGGGCTCAGGACAACCTTAGCCGACACCTCCTGTCCCCCCAGCAGTTTCTGTGACTTTCCTTGGTCCTGCGAGGGACAGACGAGGTTGCCACACAACAGAAGGGGTCAAAGTCAAGAACCTCCATGGCCCGGGCCACACGAGTCAGCACCACCCCTGCCACATGTTCTGGCGCCGGAACTCTGAGGTCTGTCCTCTGGAGGCAGGGAGACCGCTCTGTCCCCTCCTCAGGGAAGGAGCTGTGAACCAGGGGCTGCTCTAGGCTCGGGTGGGGGTGGGGTCATGTGACCTCTCCTCCGTCCCGGGCCCTGCAGGGCAGCAAGGAGTGAAATACCTGCACAGCAGCTGCCCGCACATCCCTTGCCCCCTCGGGGCCTGTTTCCTTAAATTATAAAACGAGAACACATATAAACACGATCTCCTAGGATTATGTTGAGGATTAAATTACTTAGTGTCCACACCCTGATCTCCCCTGACACCCGTGTTCCCTGCCCGCCTCCAGCAGCCTCTCCTCCCCAGGTATCAGCAGCCCCAACCCTGTCCTCACATTCTTACTCCACATTCTGTCAGCTCTCCCTGCAAAATACAGCCAGAACCCAACCCGGCCCTGGGGCTCCTGCCCGCCCGGCACAGCAGCCACAGGGAACCTGTTAAGACCAGTCAGGTCACACCCCTCCTCTGCTCTAAACCCCTCAAAAGAGGCGTGGCCCAAAGTCAACTTGATCTGCTTCCCATTTCTCTATCTTCATGTCTCCCTCCATCTCCCTTCACTCCAGCCTCACAGGCCTCCTTCCCCTTTTCCTCGAACCCAGCAGCCACATGCCCACCTCGGGGCCTCCGTCCAGATATCACAAAGCTCCCATCCTCACCTCTACTGATCACTGATTTAAAATTGCAGACCCATCCCACCGCCCCCCCATGCACTCTGGACTCCTCCCCTTCACCTGGCTCCCCGTCTCTCCTCCCCAGCAGCTGCCTCCAAGCCCCAGAACTAGCTCTGTTTCCTTGCCTGCTTTTTGCTCCAGTGCTAAGAGACTCAGCACACAGCAGGTGACACGTGAGCGTCCGCCATTACTACTTCTCACTCTGTGGTGGGGGGAGGGCACTGGAGGAAGGGTAGACCCGCATGGGGGTGAGCGCCCACTTTTTGCAAGGTCATGAGGACTTGGTGAGATGATGCATGTGAGCAGCCTGGCACCAGGAAGTCTGGCACACAGTAGGCACTCAAAACAATGCCCCTTGCCGAAACCGGTTTGGCTCAGTGGATAGAGCGTCGGCCTGCGGACTGAGGGGTCCCAGGTTCGATTCCGGTCAGGGGCATGTACCTGGGTTGCGGGCACATCCCCAGTGGGAGATGTGCAGGAGGCAGCTGATCGATGTTTCTAACTCTCTATCTCTCTCCCTTCCTCTCTGTAAAAAATCAATAAAATATATATATATTTTAAAATGCCCCTGATCCTAGAATGAGGGTATTCCCCTAATAGTCATGTTCAAACCCCCAGCACCATCTGCTCTCCTGACTGAGCTCTAGTTTGGGCATAAAAGTGTCCCTCATAGAGGTGACTTCAGGTCAAGGGCACAGAGCTGGTCTGGCACACAGTGGGCGCTTTAGTCTCGGCTATTGTTGACTGTGCTTCCCCCCGCTACCTCCCCCTCCAAGCTGGCCTAGTCTGGCCAGCAAGGCTGCTCCCAGCCAGGCCTGGTGTCCCCGCCCAGCCGGCCGCAGCAGGAGGCAGGACTTCCCAGGATCCCAGCCAGGCCCCTCCTCTGCAGTTTGAAAAGAGACAGGGGGTGGGGGAAGTGGGGGGGGGTGGTTAACGCTCCCAGCTGGGCTGACCAGGCTGCCCAGACCCTCCTCTCCCCTCGGAACCTCCTGACCCAGGCGACCAGAAGTGCTCCCGGTGCCTGGGACCGGGCAGGAGTCACAGGGTCAGATCCGCTGGCCTCAGCCCCCCACCCGCTGCGCCTCAGTGTCCCAATCCAAGAAATGGGTTCCCCGAAACTCGGGCTTAAAAACAAACATTCAATGTAGCACAGGACGCTGCCTGGGCACCACGGGGGCCGCCTCCCACTCCCTGAGGCTGGCTCTGCCAACGGAGAGCTCGAACCCGAACCCGAGAGGTGGCTCCTTATCTGGCCCAGGGAGGCCCATTCCAGCCGGAGGTGACTTGGCAGTGCCCGGCTCTATCGCTTCCGGAGTGCATCTCAGGAACAGGCCCTGCGGCCTTCTCCGGGGGGACCACTAAAGGGGGGGGGTGCCGGACCCCTCCCCAGGAGACCAGGCGGGTGGGAGGGGCTGTGGGACCGGCC